AAGGAACTACTTGAACTTTGTTCCAAATGAATTGAAGTTTGAATTTGCTGGCGCGTTGATCAGTGTTGAAGGATATTACCAAGTCACGTTGGCTCCATCAGTGCAACGTTCGCATAAGTCGCATGGTAGTCAAGTCCCATTGTAGGCGACAGATTTGCTTTGGCTCGAGTAATTCGTATTACTCCGGAGGCAATTCCAAACAAGGCCAGCAGTTAACTACGATGCTAGTAAAAACGTAACAAAATGCAATGGGGATATACCTGAACCATACCCGTGAAGGATAGAAGCAACCGGGTTTTTACAAGGCGTAAAGAAATGCAAATCACCTTACTCGCCATTGAACAGCAAGATCGCAAAAACCAGAGTTCGCGAGCGGAATCCTACGACTCTTTTATTGGATCTCATAACCATACTCAATTGGTTCACTGTACAGTGTAGAGAGCTACAATGCGTTGGGTTCTTAGGGTAAGTTCAAAGGGATTGAGACTAATGTGGGATGAACAGAACAACAAAGGGATATGCCTCTGGAATGATAATAATTCAATGTCGGCATGTACGTGTGACCCCTGGGGTAAGTTGCGGAATTTGGAAGCGAGCAATTATAACAGCGGGGGTTTGAATAAAACCATACGGGTATCGCACAAAGGAAACACAGGGAGTTGGTCGGCTGGAGTTCACCAGATGGTACAGGTGTCAGGTGTGGTTATCCAGAGTAAGATCCCGATATCCAACTTGCGAACAGCATGGTAATTTTACCGGTTACTCCTGGTACAACCAGTGCACATTGGTGCAAAATATGAGATGACAAGGGTCACGATAACGATGATGACGAATTCCGTTTACAAAGATTGGGGAATGTATTGAGACAGCAAATTCACCTTTGTGGCCCAAACAGGATCCGTCATGTTCGGACCCCGGGGGAGGGAGGGAACGAAGCCTTACAAGAACAATACACTGACAACTAAGGAGACAACATTGTTCTGATCGAGCAGTTGATCAATTACGGATGACCGTTCAGGTTGTATGCCGCGGCGGATATCGCAGAGCCCTGCATGATCCGGCATCTTCCATCTGAGTGATGAAGATTAAAGGCCAGGCAGTGTTTGGCACTCACAGTCAGTGCGGGAATTCCGAGGCTTTGATCCACCCAACTGCACAACTAAGTAAGCTGAATGCGCAGAAACGTAACAAGCGCACCCAGAGAGTGATCAAAAAGGTCCATCTAGTGGAGTGGGACGTTAGGGAGAGTGGCATTATCCATTTCCAGTACGCATTTCAACAGTGGCTCCAGGATGGCATGCGGAGTTGTGTGTACCAGCGGACGAGTGGTTTTACAGTTCTATGGATAACTTAATCACCACAGTAATACAGTAGTCACACTTGAGTAAAGACACCGCATAACTTAGTTTGCAGAGAATAAGAGCAAAGTGTTTAAAAAGTAGAAAGCACATTTTAAAAGGATACGCTGAATTCGGGTATTACGAATATTCGCGTCAGCTGTTTACATGCATTTCGTGAAATTATCGCGCTGAATAAGGTTATTCATTCAAAGAAAAAAACGCTGACCAATCTCACCCAGGTGAAGCCCAATTGGCTGTGTGTAAATCCAGTTTGTTTGTATAGATTGGGCTTCTGACGCGCCGAACAGCTGAAGCTTTGGCAAACTGAATCAAACGGGCATTGCTCTATCTACGGTGTTTACTGAAGAAAACAGGATCAATGACTAGATAACAGCTGATGAGCGCCATGTCATCTGGATTCTTCAACGACCAGATACCGGAGGCGCTTGAGAAATACCTGATAAACGTGTCCACCACTTTCAATAAGTTGCTCGCAACTTGAAGCTTTATCATTGTGGTTCAATTTTTCAGTACCAGCGAAGATGTGCAACAGAAAAGGGATTGAAGCACAGTTAGAACGCTTGTATGGGCAACTATTCCGTCTGACACCAGTCACCGACGACACATGCGGTTACTCTAAGACTAACACAGTGGATTTAGCTAACCAATATTGTGTTGCTAAAAATGAAAAATATAAAGGTAAAAAACGGAACATTAGAAAGCACTGAAAACTGACAAACGATCACGAGTGGTCACTATGGGAAAACAAAATCGTTCATAAAATGTAGATAATTGTTGCAGATAGTAGCCGCTTCGTTCGCGAATTGACGAGTCGCCATATAGTTGAACATGCTGAAAGCTTCATAATTCGTGAATTAAAAAATCACCTGAACGCTGGATTGATGGATGAGAAGAGCATGACACAGTTGTGCCCACGGTGGACTCGATTTGCTTTTAGGTGCGGTTTACCGAAGACACACAAGGCATTCCTCTGTGTCCAATCATATCAATGGTATGACAAGTTGGCACGTTGGCTAACCAAGCTAATCGAATGTATCCGATGTGAGCTAGCCGGGCACATCATCAAAGATATGTTTAAGTTTGTTAAACGTGGATGGGAAATACATGATCCCTGTTGACGCACGCTCACTGTTCACCAACATCCCATTGGAAGAGAAGTTAGACATCATCGGTGCTCATGGTGACAAAATTGGGTTTCCAGTGTATCACCTCAAGTATTTACATCCGTTTGTGCACAAAAAAACATATAGTTCCAAATCAATGGCACAATATACCGTCAGATCGATGGCGTAGCCATGGATAGAGTCCTAGGTGATATTTTTATGGGTCACTGGGAGCACCGGGAACTACGTCCCTACATCCAAAATGTGCATCTGTACAGTAGCTACCTTTCCTGTACTTTTGTTGTAATTGAAAACCATCAGCAAGCAGAGCGCTTACTTGATGTTCTAAAGAAATGCCACTCCGCGACCAAGTTCACAATGGAAAGCGAAATGAACAACACCTATCACTTCTTAGAAGAGGAATTCAGAAGGCATATTTACCCGATCTGTGCATCGGAAGCCCACTTGGACAGATCCATATAGAAACTTCCACAGTTTCTGTCCTATAAACTACAAACGAGCATCGGTGCGTTACGTCTTCGTAAGAGCGCGCCAAATTTGTTCTGAAGATGCGATCGACAGTGAATTGGGATGCGTCTTATCAATGCTACAGGAAAATGGATACCCCATGCGTTTTATAGCTTGGTATACAAGCTGAGGCTGATGTTGCATTCTTGATGCTTCTTCACCGCAGTTGGGCTAAACCAACTTACACTTAAACTAGGTCTTTTTAAGCTGGATAAATTTCATTCCACTTTATTTGGTTTGTTCTGCCTACCTGAATAATGTTCTATTAACTGGCCACGTTGCTTACGCTAATTGCGCTTATCTTCGGTAACTTTGTTGCGTTTGTAGCATTTTTAAGTAATTGTGGACATTTTTTCCCTACCGCGGATTCGTTGCTAACCAACTTACTTCATATGGTAATTTAGCGAAGAGTTATGCCACCGTATCTGTATGCATTATTGGATTTATTTTATTTCAGCTTGTCGTTTAAAGTGAATGGCTGTTGCTTGATATCCCCGGTCTGGCTGCGCTGGATCTGTATGCTGACAAGGTGCCTACCTGTCTATTACCCACTACCTCGTTCATACTGGCTCCAGGAGACAGTTGGTCGTTGCTGCAGGGGACGGGGTGCACGGTCCTTGTGGCCGTGCTAGGCTCAAAGAGCGGTTCCATGCACTCAGTGTGGAGCGGACTACGGTCCAGCCACCGCCTTGTGGGCACTTGATTCCTCAAATACAGTGTGCTTGTGTTTGCCTGTGAAGAAGTGTGGGCCGGCTCCGTTGATGAAACGTGGTTCCCATCCACATGCCTCCCGGTCTTATTCCTTCGGGTTTACACTGGATATGGGGTGTGTGGTTGGAGCTGTGGGTGGTGCAGCGCAAGCCATCCATGGTCCCTCTGTAGGCGCAGGCGTCCTGTGGTTGGCCACAGTGACAGGCAAATCCGAAACCGGATGCAGCCAACCATACAAGCGTAGAAAATAGTAAGAAGCATTTGATAGATGTCCCCAAGAAAAGTGTCCATGATATTACCATTTAAGAGGGGTCAAAATAATAGAAGACTCTGGCAATGCCTCGGCCAAAGCATAAGGAAATGCTATTACGCGCCCGAACTGGTGTTATTGCACCAAGTTGCCCTCTGAATCCAATCTGGACAAGTCACATCCTCATATCATCGCCTGTGGTGTTTACCGCCTCCAAGTACGTTGGCCGAAGTGGGAGGAGGCTGTCTAGTGGGATTTCGGAGCACATTCCGGGAAACATGATCGCCAACGGTCCCAAACTGTCATTTGGCTACTGCATAGCACATCCTAGACTGCACTATGTGCCGAAGTCCTTTTGATTCGCTCAAAGTAATTAACCGACAGAGCAATGCCTGCTTGGTTTAGTTTGCCGAAGCTCCGGCTATTCGGCGGCAGAAGCCCAATTTGTACAAACAGACTGAATTCACAGTCAGCATCGCCTTACTTTGATGAGGTTATTGATCATTTTTCTTTGAAATGAATGACCTTACACATTGCTTTGTACGCAGCGCGATAATTTCGCGGAATGTATGTAAACATCTGACGAGAATACTCGAATTCAGCGTGGCCGTTATTTGATCTTGCTATTTTGTAATTTACATAGGGAAAATCGTGCGTAAAAGTACTTGGACATCGAAACACAAGATGAAAATCAAGAAATATTGTCTGATTATAGGTTTGGTTAATGGGAAAATATTAGTGAAAGTGAACTAGGTACACTGTCGACGGAACGATTCCACACAAACCAGCGACGTGAATCCAGAGCGCCAGCGTATCAGAAATTAGTCCCAAAGGGCCCCACTAGCCGGAAACCATGACGGTGCAGAAACAGGAGAATCACTGTGAGCGGGGACTTTGTGTTACATTTGTGGATACCGTTTGGGGTTGATATCATTCCGGGCCCTCATCGAGAGTTTCAATGAGTGACTGGGTAATATGTGGTCGTAGTATCTCACACGTATGATCGTTGAGAGAAAGAGGGCAATTAGACCAACGGTAGACACTTACGTATAGTGCAATCCGGTCCGCTGAATCCATTCACGCAGTCGCAGTTGCCTCGGTTGCATACACCTCGATTACTGCAGTCGTTCGGGCAGCCGTCGTCGACTGCTACACTCATTGGATCGGATGGATGCACGGGTCCAACGGGAACGACACGATTGAGAGGATAGGAGAAAAAGAGATGGTTGCAATAAAGGAGTGATAATCTGTCAACACTATAAGACGGGTGAGAATATAACATGTGCTGGATTGAGGATGAGTAAGTGGCGATAGTTCGTCAAACCTTCCAATTCCAGACCTAGCAACCACCGTGCAACTGCGAACAGTTGCTGGACGTCTGTGTCCGAGCACGGCGGAACTGTGAGTGGCTTACGCTACATAACTCACAGCTCCGTCCAACAACACACGATGTATTCAGCATGCGATCACAGATGAATATAAAGCAGCGGAATGCGAGTTGGAACCGGAACCGGTTCATCAAGAAACATACGATCGGAGGCATAACTGTAAGGGTGGTGAGGATCGTTACGGATGCGTATGCATGTTGTTAGAGATTGGTTCGTGTGAGATGGGTGAAATGTGATGAGGTTAACATACTGATTATACGGTGGCCCGTTCCATGGTGAAATCGTTCTTTGATCGTAGAAACACTTCACATTAACGACGATTGACAGTAGTCTATTGGAACCGGCACTGAAAGTGGTGCTGTCGGATGCGTGGCAGTATGACAACATGCGATTCGAGTGCAGCTACCTCGGACATTTCACACGGTGATAAACGTCAAGTCGGCAGCAAACACACTCAACGATTCACGACGTATGGCCTAGTCACGGTGGTGTAAGCCCCAGTGTAGGAACACGCAGTAATAAGCGTACTGATCATTGACCAGCGTGTGATCTAAGTCCAATGTGCAGAATCGAACACCAAAGCACTACCGACCCGAGTTGGATAAACATAAAAAGGAAAAGTCACCTTAAGTGAATACACACTGACACACACACACACATACACACATGTAGGCACGCTTAGGACGCAAGAGGGTTGCACGGCGGACCGAGAGCAGTTGAAGGAGGATGGTCGATGCTCGGTGCGAAAGTACGCATCGCGATAACTGTGCGCTGTGCAACGAGGGCAGTTTTACGATCCAGTCCGCAGCAGTTCAATTAGGTGCGAAAAAACTAACCCCAGAACAGGCACACTTAGGGTGCACACTTGGCAAGCGGCAGTAATCGTGTAGCCGTCACACGGCCGACGCGTATTTATAGCTGTGTCGAGTGGTTTTTAGACCAGCCGCGGCAATTATCGGACGGTAATCAGCGGGGACCTTAGCAAACAAGCCGCATATCCAAATAGTGAGAATTGTTACTAGTCTAGTGGCTAAATATGGCAATTTTGTCCAGCAGTCTCAAATGTTTATTCCTAACAGAAATGGGCGAACTAGACCGATCGAGGCTGCTCAAGTGGAGATATTACTATCTCGATGGAGGGGATGGATTAGGAAACGAAGAGGAAGGTAAAATACAGAACGTAGTGATTCAGTTATGCGTACACAAGGATCTTAAAATCGAGCAATGGTGAGAAAACCTCAGTGAATTTATCCGACGGTCGTGGACAGTGACACATAACTGAAGTTAGGCCCATCTTCCGAAGGGGAATTTGTGTGCTCATCAAATTCCTGATGGCGCCAAATCCAAACATGTAAGCAGGAACAACACACATAGCGCATGTGGAATATCAATTCAGATTCGTATCATGAGAGCCGTAGCTGCAGTTGAACACAGAAGAAGTCGAAAGATCTGTTTACTAGTGAGATTTCTAACAAGGACAGCAACACAACGGCGTTGATTAGGTGTATTCGGCTGCCTACTGATTAACAAAGTTTGTGAGGACCTCGCGCATGCGTTTCGTGTGTGCAACAAATCGAGTATCCCTCGTTTTATGTCGGGTGGATATCAAACTTGACCCAAGTAAATGTATGTGTCTAGAAGGGAGCATTTGTTGCTATAACTGTGTTTGGACAACGGGCCGGTTAATGGGTGACAAACTAATGCATGTGTGCTGTGGAAAAGCTGAAATTCAATAAAACCAGTAGCATTTAGCGGAATTCGGTTCTAAACTGGCCTGTCAAGGTAATTGCGGAGGGCCACATCATGCCTGCATCTTATACAGAAGGGTCAGAAGTGGTTCGCGCTTCAGCAACTACAGATACATCCATACACTCCCATATGCATTGCAAACCCGAAGGAATGAAACCGAGAGACATGTGGTTGCGAAGTAAGATAGTTTCGAAGTCGGTCCACGTTCCTCCTCCTACAACACAGATCCGATTGATGCAAAGTTGAGGAAACCAGCTGTACCAGGTGTACACTGAGAGGGGATTGAGTAGGAGTCCGTTCCACGACTTTGCGCACTATCTCCTCCAGCAGTGAGCAGTAATCTTCCGGAGTCAACAGGCGGCGCGGTGATGTCAATTGGATGGGTACATCGTCACGTGAGAGAGCAGACCAAATATACCACAGAGACAAACATAAGGATGCTGTCCCATTGATATCATCTTATCCTGGCAAGACAGTCAGCTGGTTGCGATTGTGTGTTGTTGAATAGGTGTGTCCCCGTACTTCTCTTCATATTAGACCATAAATATGAGTTGCGTGGCAGCAAAACAGCAGCTCAAAGCACCGATGTACTGTTGTTGTTGTTTTGTTGTGGTTGTGGTTGCTGCTGCTGCTGCCATTGTTGATGATGATGAATAATAAATAAGGAAAATAGCAAGCGAGAAAGTCTACAGTTGCGTTGCTGCCTCGAGATACCATCAGACACGCACGCTGAATAATGTCGTTTATTGCTGCACATTTTCAACGCAGTTCGGCTGTGCGACGAAATCACACTTAGGTGCGATGCATTTTCGAAACCTGTACTTCGCAAACTAAACGTCTATGAATTTATTGAATTCCGATACTGATTTCCCCTCGACTATCTTTTCGAACAAACTGTTCCAGTATTTCGTCACTCGATGCTCGGGGCATAGAGAGTAAGCGATATGCTTCAAATCCGGTACCACCAGTTTGTACCGGTGGGATGCGGCGATTGGCCGGCCAGCTTGTACGTATGCCCATCAACATCTTTCCCCAGACTCATAAATAATGATATGACTGGGTTGACAGCCAGAACGACATTTGTAGACCATATAAACAGGCGGTCGAGGTCATGCCGAAGAAAGTCGCATCAGTCGGGAGTATCCATTGCAAACAATACATAAGGGGATCGGAGAAGCTGAGGTAATTCGTCTATATGGATCAGGAACCAAATGGGCCCCAGTACTGTGCCTTGGGGTACCACACTGGTGGAGAGGTGGCTGTCCGTTAACTGGTCATCCACCTGCATCCTTCACTTCCGTCCAATCAGGAAGTTGCTGATCCACTGGTGCAGTGAGTCACCAACAACGTACATCCTCATCTCGTTGAGGAGCCTCATGGTTCATCTTGTCAAGAGCCTTACTGAAGTCAATGTGAATGACGTCGATCAGCTTCCCATGGTTCACTGCGTGTAACCATTCAAAGCTCGTCCCGAGCTGGTTGCTGATGTATGAACGACCTTTCACGAAACCATGCTATGCAGGCATCAAGAGGCTATTCGACTCGAAAAGTTGCAGAAGACCCTTCTTCACGATGTTAGCCAAAACAGCGGTCAGGTACATCGGCCGGTAGTTGTCCATTCGCTTGGGTCACCGCTTTTCGATATTAGTTTACTATTGAGTATCTCTAGCTGTTCGGTTAGAAAACTGTGGACAGCGCAGTTAGGGAAGGAGAGATGATGGGCGAAAACAAATTGAGAATCGGTGGGTGGATTCCATCAGGCCCGTCAAGCTTGGTTCTGTCAAGAATGACCGACTGGTTGCGTACATCTTCAATGATGCAATCCAGGCGGTCTAGTTCAGCGGAGGCGGTACCCCTGGAACTCGGTACAGACATCTGGTCGCTGGTGAATACAGAGGCGATGTGCGCCGCCAATGTGGACGCACCATCTGCGCTTGAGAGGTTACAGGCTGATCATCTGAGTCATGCAACACTGGCACATTGCCTGTAGGCCTCAGGCGTCACTTCACATAGAAAAATATGCTCTTAAGAGCCGACTGCAATAGATTGTCCGAAGTTTCGGCGCTTCTGTGTTTTCACGTTGTTGCAGAGATTTCGTTGTCCCTTGTACGTTTCGTAGTCTCCAACAGAACCAGACAACACGAATTTATGCCATAGTCTGTGTCATCAGTGAGTCAGTTTGTTATAGTCCTTGTCGTACCAATGTGACTTAAGGGACACAAATCGGGCGTGCAACAATTATATCCCCTTTTTATAACAATCAGGAACCAACAGACAGATCCTTTGGTAACGGCCCGTCCATTTGGCTTTCGGCTTGAGTAAGGCCATTACATTCTGCCTTCTAGTAGATGAAGGCTGGCTTTAGCGGAATTAACTACGACAACGACAGATCCAAGCTGGTCATGATCATCGAGTGGTCACTCGCTGCCAGGTGCTCCAAGAACTGGATGTCATGTAAACGTTGCTCCCACATGGTCAATAGCAGGTCAAAGCACGATAAAGCCGAGCGCGCGGTTGTGTGCGTCGGCTGGTTGATGTGTTGAAGTGACCCCAGTTGCAAAAAATGTATCCGCGAATTACGTCTCGACTTCTCAATGGCAGGGGAGAAGTTCGATTTCAGGCCACTGTAGGCGAGGAAGGTTAAAATCAGCCATGAGTAAGAACTGCAGAAGACTAATGTGGTTGCGGATATGCGCCAACCAATCCAACTAGCGTCTCAGCGGACTGCGGTAGACCACATCCATAAGCGGCTTGCTGCATCTGAAGAGAATCGGACACCATAATTCCTCACACAGACCATCGGTGCCTCGGAAAGTGCGCGCGAGTTTCCCAAACAAGGAATACCATATGCATCGAAGCACGCCATCGCGCTCACTTAAAAGTCTATCACAGTGGAAGAACGAGTAGGACCTAATTCTACTTTTTGGGCTGTTACCTCAGAATTCAGCAGTTTTAACAAGGCCTAACACATCTAGTCACCGAGAGATTCCGAAACGGCACAACCCGCCACGT